TGTTTTTATTGGATGCCTCTGAACTATTTCAGATTCATAATAGCCCTATGTCCCACAGGACAAAGCATTAGCAGTCCTGTATCGTCTTTGTACTCTTTGATATGTTTGAGTGCATTGTTACAGCCACTGTGTCAATTTTCCTTCGGTAAGGATTTTCCTCTTTGCTCACCCTCTAATTGTAAAGCATGATGTCCTTCTCCAGGAACTGGTCCGTCTTGATAATATACACGAAGTGTGAGAGAAGTCATATGATCCTTGATCCTAAGGAAAGCTCTGGTTATACTTCCTCCAAGACAGGTCCCTTCTGGCCATCTATACACACTCAAAACCAAGCCAATTTTCATCAAGTCAGTTCTAGCTCCTTTGAGATCCATCCTGACCCTCCATCAGGATTCAAAAGCTATAAATATTTATTTCTTGACTGTTGTTTCTGTAAGTGTTGGTGTGTTTCCAAGTAAAATGAAATCCTTAACAGTTTCAATTTTTCCTCCATTTATTATGATGCTACTTATTGATCCAATTGTGAGGATGTTTGTGAAATGTACATTTGAAGTCTTTTATGTCTTCAGTAAGTGCTTCAAGTCCTCTTTGCTGTCTGGAAGCAAAGTTGTTTCACTTGCATATCACAGGAGGTTAATGAGTCTTCTTTTCAATCCTGTTGACCTGTTCTTCAGATAATGCACCTTACTGAATTATGTGCTCAGCACAGATTGATTTGAGTATGGTGAAAGAATACAACCCTGGCACAAATTTTCCTACTTTTAACCCCACAGAATCTCCTTGTTCTATTTGAAGGATTACTCTTGGTTTATGTACAGATTCTGCATGACCATAATTAAGTGCTCTGAAATGTCTATTTTTCACAATGTTATCCATAGTTTCTTATGTTCTACGTAGGCAGATGCTTTTGCATAGGCAATAAAGCACAGGTAATTATCTTTCAGATGATCTCTGCTTTCAATCAACAGTTGTATTCTTCTTTCTATACTCTTCTCTGAATTCAGCTTGAATTTCTGGAAGTTTTCTGTTGACATAATGCCCAAACTATTTTCTAATTATCTTCAGCAAAATTTTGTGTGTGATGTTAATGATTTTTTAAATAATTTTTGCAATCTTTTGAATCAACTTTATTTGAAGTGGGCATTTATATGTATCTCAGTTGACCAGATAACTGCATTCCAAATTTCTTGTCGTAAACAAGTTAGTGCTTCCAGTATTACAGGTTTGTGGAAACATCTCAGTTGGTATTCAGTAAATTTCTGGAAGTTTGCTTTTATCCAACACATTCAGTGCAGCTTGGATTTCTTCCTTCCACACCATTGGTTCTTGAGCTTATCCTACATCCTAGAAGAGTTGAACATCAGTGAATAACTTTTTTTGGGACAGTTGGCTCTGTGATTTCTTCCATCTTCTTTTGATACTTACAGCATCATTCATTATTTTGCCAATACAATATTTCTCACCCATAGGATATTTTGCAACTTGAGGTTTGCTTTCTTTTTGTTTCCGTTTTTTCAGCTTCAGAAATGCTGAGCAATGTCTTCCTTTTTGGTTTTCTAAGTCTTTACATACTTCACTAAAGTCTGGTGAATACCACTATCATTCAGAGATATGCACCAGCAACCAGAGCCACAGAAAAGGAAATAGAAAATGTTTACCAACTTCTGCAGTCAGAGATCAATTGAACATGCAATCAAGATGCATTAATAATAATGGTTGATTGGAATGCAAAAGTTAGGAACAGGGAAGAAGGATCAGTATTTGGAAAACATGGACTCGGTGACAGAAATGAAGCTGGAGATAGAATGATTAAATTTTGCACAGTCAAGAACTTACTCATTTCAAATACATTTTAAAAGAAACATAAATGCAGATTATACACATAGATTTCACCTGAATGTATACATAGGAATCAAATGGATTACATCTGTGGAAAGAATCGCTGGAGAAACTCACTATCAGCTGTGAAAACTAGGCCAGGTACTGGTTGTGGAACAATCAACTACTCATATGCAAGTTCAAGCTGAAGCTAAGGAAAATAAAATCAAATCTACAGGAACCAAAATGTGACCTTGAGTCTATCCACCTGAGTTTCAGAACCATCTCAGGAACAGGTTTGAGGCCTTGAATACCAGATGAGTTGTGGGAGGATAGAAAGAGTTTCATCCAGGAAGAATGCAAAAGGTCATTAGAAAGGTAGAGGAAGAAGACCAAGATGGATATCAGAAGAAATTCTGAATATTGCACTACAGTGCCAAGAAGCCAAAGAAAGCACAAGGAAGAATTCAAGGTATTATGAGCTGAACCGAAGATTTCAAAAGGCAAATCGGGAAGACAACAATGAAATGTGCAAGGAGCTGGAGTCAGAAAATCAAAAGGGCTGAACTTGCTCAGCATTTCTTAAGCTGAAGAAACTGAAGAACCTGTGGTAAATCCCACCCTGATTGATCAACTGCCATAAAGTGGAATTCTTCTTCTCTGTAAGAGCACAGGAGTTTTCCGCATTCCTGTATCTGAAGTAACAGATAAGATTCAAATAGGTTTCCAAACTGTTACCCTGAGCTATGGCTAGCCAATTGAAGGTGGACAAATTCCCCAACTACTGTGGATGGTCAATCATGCATGGCGTGTATGGTTGGGCAGGGGAGTAGCAGAAAGGAGGGGCAGACATCAATTCGGGGCTGTTGGCTGGATGCTGCTGTATCAGCACGCGGGAGCCCGGGTTAGAACTCAAAATAAACTTTGTTAATTCGGCTAAAAAAAAAAAGAAAGAAACTGAAGAACAAATTCAAACCTTAAATTGCTAAACTTAAGGATGCCTCGGGCAGAATATTAACTAACTTATCCAGGAAGCATTAAAAAGAAGATGGAAAGAGTATATAGAGTCACTGTACCGAAAGGAATTGGCAGACACAGAAGAATTTCATGAAACAACATATACTCAAGAGCCTATGTTTAATGCAGGAAGAAGTTTAAGCTGCTTTGAAGGAATTGACAAAAAATAAGGCCCCAGGAATAAATGGTATACCAATTGACGTATTTCAACTAATAGATGCTGTCCTGGATGTGTTCACCGAGTTGTGTCATCCACTTGTCCAACTGACTGGAAGAGATCTCTATTTGTTCCCACTGCAAAGAAAGGTGACCCAACAGAGTGTGGAAATTATAGAACAGTATGCAAGCAAGATTCTGCTGAAGATTATCCAAAAACAACTGGAACAGCACATCAGCAGAGAACTGTCAGAAGTTCAGGCTCCGTTTAGAAGGGGTCATGATACTAGGGATATTAAAGCTAATGTAGTCTTTGCAATCACTTAGTATGCATCAGAGAGCTGGATAGTGACCAGGGAGGATAGAAGGAGAGTTGATGCCTTTGAGCTGTAGAAGAGTATTGAATGTATCATGGACTGCTAAGAAAATGAACAGGTTCATCCTAGAGGGGGTTAAACCAGGCTGAAGCTTCGTCTTACATACTTTGGACATGTTGCAAGGAGAGACCAGTCCTTGGAGAGGGATGTAATGCTTGGGAGGGTGGAGGGACAGCACAGGAGAGGAAAACCCTCTATGAGGTGGATTGATTCAGTGACTGGGGTATTAGGGGTGGGTGTGTTGGAGACAGTGAGATAGGCACAGGATAGTCAGAGTTCGGTCTGTTGTACATAGGGTCACTATGAGTCACAGGCAACTCCATGGTACATAACAACAACAAAAACAAGAAGCAAGCAACCTTAAAAAAAATCTTCACTTTAACTCTTTCCCTTCATCATGTCCACTCATTTTAGCTTCCCTTCAACTGGAAGCCAGACTCAGCAAATTTCAGATTCTCTTCTGATGTCCATTTTCGTCTCCCCCCCCCCTTTCTTGCTCTGTTGTTGTTGCTGTTCTTTTCCTTTTTACTTTCTTCACGTATGATCTTCTCAGTGTCTTTCCACAACTCATCAGCTTGCTAGTCATTAGCATTCCATGAGTCAAATCTATTCCCGAGATGCTCTCTAAATTAAAGATGATGAGTACTCAGGGTTCATACTCTGTGTATGACACATAGCATCAACCACCTGTTATGTCCTAAAGGATCAATTGGCATTTTTACCCTTTTCATTTGGACACTTAAAATATCTTATGTTATCAATGCATAAAGCCAAAGAAATCAAACTTATTGCTGTCAAGTTGATTCCAATTCATGACAACCTTGTGAGACAGGCCAAGTTTCCCAAGGTTGTCTCTTTACCAAAGCAGATTACCACATCTTTCTCCCCTGAAGTGCATGGTATATTCAAGTCATTTACCTTTCCCTTACAGTCAAGAGTTGTAACCAGGAAATCATTAGGGCAATGCCCATGTTTATTAATATTATTTTCAGGATGCCATTCTGGAGTACTAAACCAAATGACAAGAGCTGTCACTTAGAATTTCTATGCCTGAAAGCTTTCTTCATATGTTACAACACTTTGGTTCAGCATAAAAGTTCAACTCATTATTGTAGCATGTTTATTGCTAGAGTCAAGGGAAATTGAGGTGACCAGAACAACATTTTATTCATAAACTGTTCACTTTCATTTTCACATCTCAACCAAGAACACATCGATGGTTCAAGGTTAGTAATGAGGCACAGAAGTTGTAGAGAACACACTTAACTCCGCTGGAGAAACTTTACTGTAGAAAGCAAAACCAGGGTGTCCTTCAGAGTGTACTCTGACCTTCTTGGAAACAACAGGGACAATAGGAAGCCAGACTTCAAATGCACTCTTCTGTGGAATTGTTTGCATTTGATCTATAGAAGCAGGCAGGACCATAATTTTTAAGTTCTCTAGGATCTTTCATATCCAGACAGGAGTAACTTGATCCCTGTTTCATGAACTCATCCCAAAGATGTGCTTCTTCAGAACTGCAAGGTCATTTACATAATAGTTATCACTAGAATAGCATCTGGACTTAGAGAAGCTCTGTTTTAGGAAGTACTCATAACCTTCCTTTGCATTTCTTTTTTTTTCTAGTACAATAAAGTGTACAAGAACCTAAAGGAGTTTTCTCAGGATGGAGAGAATTTCTGCAAGCAGGTCACATCCATTCTTCAGCAAAGGTACAAAATGCACATTTGCAATAAACAGCATTTTCTCTGGTTGCAGCAAGCAATATGGCTGGAGGAGTGATTACAGGCTGTCCTCCTTCCCCGAGTGTGGTGTTATATTTTGGTACTTGAGAGATTGGTTTGAAGAGTAATTCTCCTCTACTGCACATTTATCACTTGGATACCATAAAAATATAGGGAATAGCAGGAAGTAATTCTACTTGAGAGGACTCTGCCTGGTCTCAACTGAGTCCTCAGACTGAATTTATTGTTCTTTCGGGGAAGGGGGTGGTGCTATCGTTATACCCAAGATAGAGGCTCATATTGTCTTTCTCATTCTTGTAGAAATTGTTAATTTACATTTCTGTTTCTTCCAGGGAGGCTTTTACTCGTCTTTGTACACTAAGCTTTTAGAGGCCAGCCTTTCTGACTTCTTCAGTTAATGTCTTGTAGTTGAATGGATGGCTGAGTAAAAGGTCACAATTTTCAGTATTTTCCAAGTACAGCTTTTTCTGATCATGTGTAGAGCCAGTTCTGTACTCAGCCAAGAAAGGAAAGTTACAAAAATCCCTGCTTCATATTAGAGAGCCCATGGACTGAAAGGGTACCACGAGGTCTTTTCAGACATTTGCCTACCTCCAGAAGGTTCTGTAACCCACTACACAAAAGAGATATTAAGAAGAGGTTATCAATTCTTCTAGGATAACCCAATTCAAATTTCAAATACTGTATTATGCAAGAAGAACAAAGACTCATGAGTCACTTACATCCTGCAATTGTTAGGTCAAGAGTAGAGGAGACAAGAAAAGATACAGAAGAGATCAAACAGGCTTTTAGTTGAGTTGAGAAGCTTTTATTTTAGTTATTTAAGAAAGTAACTAGATTTGTCAATGAGGATCAAAAATTTAAAATATTACATTATTTCCTAACAGGCAGTTTTTATAAGACAGAAAGAGGAAGGACAAATCTTGTAGGTAATTTCTTTTCAAAGACTTCCTATGAGACTTTTATTCATTTCAAAAAACATTACTTAAAATAAGAGAAATTAACAATTATAGCAAGTCAGTCATAATTTGGATAAGAAAATATCTTTCTTTTATGGTTCAGAAATAAGCTATGCATATATTGGTCATGTAGACCCATAGAACATGGCTTTAAATAATCTAGGCTTTGCGTATCTGGTGTGTGTGTGTGTGTGTGTGTGTTCAAAATGAATGTGTGGTGTAGAGCTATGAAGATAGAAGACAAGTCATTTAAAAATGCCTACTGCTAATCAGAATCAGCTATGAACTTTATAGATGTGGTTGAGCTCAAACATCCAGATCGCATCTCATCTCTGCCTTACAGAATCCTTTCTGCGTGGTCTGTGCCACAGTCCTCATTCTTTCCATGTCTCACTTGAGGTAGTTCCTAGGGCTGCCATCTGGCCCGTGCTTATTAATGTGCAATCCTCCGAATGTTTCAGAAGGGCAAACATGTGCCAGTGGGGGAGAAGCACTTGGAGAGCTAAAGATACCTCTCTTCATGGATTTACTGTGTTATGGAGAATCATTTAGAACTTGAAAATACAAAGAGTGTTACTTACTCATTGGTAAAATTATTTGCATATCCCTGGATAAAAAGTGCATAAATTATGCACAAGAGAGATCTGAGGAAAAGTTAGATATTCTCTTTTTATATTTTTACAGAGATTTTGGGTTTTCATTCATTCATTGTTGCACTGTTTTCTCCACCCTCCTCCCCAGTTCGTTCTTCTTTCCACCCTCCCCCAATGTCTGTTTTAATTGTCCAATTGGCACAGTGCTTGTCAAAGCCAGTTCTGATTAATCTCCTTTGTCAGTGTGTCCCTTGCCATTCCCTATC